AGACTTTTTAATACTTGAATAGTTTGGGAATAACTTCATTTTCAAACAATGATTCCAAAGTTATTTATAAGTACCAAATTTCAAATTCTAGGAATGTAGAAAAAAAAGTTTGTCTTTTATAAAAGTGATCATTCATAAAATATAGTTTCTCATGTATTTTTTACTATTGATTTCCCTGTCAAAGATTTCCATTCCTTTTAACCTATGAATTGAATGCTGCTCCTATGAGATCAGCAAATATATATTCCCTGAGCATTATATTTTAATAACACAGCATATACTGGTTTCAGAAAAAGATACAAGACTTGTTTATGTGAATGCCTGATCTAAAGACGAAATCAGCAGTACTATATGCTCAGAAATACTAGCTAAAATGTATTCCCTTTTTCAAGGCTTTCCATATGTTGAAAATATGAATTAGGTCTTAGAAGTTTTCATGACATGCAGAGATAAAAGCCAGTTCATGGAACTATGAAAAAAGAGTTAGAAAATTAAGATCAGAAATTAGAAATTAGAATGAGAAAAGGAGAAAATCATCTTTGAACCTTTTGTCTCTTCCAATATATCTTCTGTTCTAGCTTAATTCACATAAAATATGCGTAACACTTTTATAGATCTTAACTTTGTATCTTATTGCATGTAGAAAATTTAAACGTGTGAGTAAGCACTTTTTAATTTTCTGTATCTTTGAATATAAGCTCTTTTTATTTCCTTTCTCTGATGTGAGGGAGTGGACAGATATGACACACACGATTCTTAAAATGTAATATCTTCATGCACTTTGGAGCTTTCTAAGTGAATTCATCACTCAGAAAAAAAATGACTTGAAGCAACTGATCACTGGAGGGAACCTACACATGAGCAAACTTTCAAAAAGTTGAGAAAGTTGAGTTTAGTACCATTTGTCTGGTTCCATTAAGACAGATAGAGAATGTAAGAGGTATATTTCTGTAGTCTGTTGGGAAACATCTGGGGTGAGGATGTGAAACCTCACACAGTAGCCTTACATCATCTGGCATTTATGTTATAATCTGTCCATTCACACAAAAGCACCTCACATACATTTCTTCCTTCTTAATTTCCTACTTAGACTTTCCAGTTTCCTTTGCATATTCTGTGTTATTTCAAGAGACTTAAAATAAAAAATTAAAATCTATATTGTGGGCTCACAATAACAGTGGGACATTGAAGACATTTCTTTTTTATATGCATATTTGTCTTTCGAAGACATTGTCTGGATACAGACTGGAAACATACAAAAACCTCCCATCTCAGTGGCTTATACCCAAGACAAAAGGTACACTGTGGGACATATTGACAAGCCATTTTAGATGAAGTACCAAGAAGAAATGCTTAAGAAGAAACATTTCCTATTTTTTGGTCAATAAGTAAAAGAGTAAAATTTGGCATATGGCCTAGACTTGACAATATACTTGCCACCTCTGTTTATGTCCCACTCTACTCTGGTCAAAATTTCAGTGACATCCAGACTCCTTTTTTCTTTAAGGAAAAATTAGTTTATAGGACTTTTTTACTAAACACATCCTAAATCTGCAAACTAGCAACATTCAGATTTGTAACTCCTTCTTCATACTTCCCTCAATACCCCAGAATAGACTCTTTTTATCCTTCCCTACAGACATGTGCCTCATCAGTTCTCTTGGCTCATTTTTTAATAAGTCTGGGATATTTAAAAAAGATACAGACTCTATTAAAAAGAAATGAAGAAAGATATAGGAACACGAATTATTTGTATCACTTAATAAGAGCCTATTTTTATTTACTATTAACTGTATTTGTCTCTCGTATATATATATATTTGTTCTGAATACTGTCTTATAAATTGTCATTATCTTTTCTTTACGTATGAGAACATTTACACTTGAATATGTTTTAGCCAGATTACATTCATATCTTTTCAAAAGGACTAACCTTTATTGTAGTGAGACAGAGCAGGTATGTTTTGATGTGTTGTGTATTCCTTTTAAACTTTCACCAATATCCATCAATAACTAATTAAAAATCTCTTGAGCTGCTCAAAAAGTCGTATTAAGTTCTATATGTTGTCTGAATTTCTGTTCATGTACAAAATACTGAAGACTTAATGTACTTGCAAAAATTTAATGACTAACCTATAAACCAACTTGCACAAATTCTCATCTCCCCTGTTTTGGTGTGGAGGGGACTTCTTTGTTTGTTTTTTTGTTTGCTTGCTTGGAGTTTTTTGTTATCATTTATTAAAAATCAGTTAACTGTCTAAAAGGAAGAGAGTTAATATCTTTCTCTGTTTTTCAAGCCAGTGAAGCCATGCAGAAGTCTTGGATATCGGTAGCATTTTTCAAACACCCAGACTATCGTAATTCCCAAGATCAGTCATAAAAAAATATTTAAAACAGTATTTAAAACATGTATATAAAAAATTTTATTATAGACATGGGTTTAGGGGTTTTTTATCTTGAAGAAACTCTCCTTCCAGATATTTCTGTTTAAGTACAGCTATAGATGTAGACCTATGTATGTAGACATATATATGGATATACTTGCATGTGGAAAGAGAAAGAGAGGAACTATTAAATAGTTATGGAGTAAAACAATCATAAGAAATTCTAATAATATGACTCATTTCAAATCAGAAAATACAAAGTCTGTTCAGGCCATCATTTATAGATAGTGTTTTGTAGAAAAGGAGTTGCTATCAATCCACTACACCTGTCACACCAAGTAAATTTTATTCTACCTTTTTTCAAAGATTCCAAGTTCCAATATACATGTCAGAACTAAAAAAAACCAAATAACTGATGAACCATTTGCTCTTCTACTAAACCTATTAGGAGCTCCAGCAGCTCTGGATAAATATTATGTAGGTATATACTGCTTTATCATTGTCGTTTCTCATTTTTTTTAATTGATTTTTGCCTGCTCATTGGTTGTTTTCCTACTTTATTTCCTCTAAATTAATTAGCCCTTTTATCTTTCATTTGCAACAGAAACAACTAGTTCTTTATGACCATGAAGAAAGCCTATCTCCTAATGTTTACACCCAGAAATACACCCAGAGGAATTTGAGTTTTTAAGCTAAATTGCTAAATTATTAAGTATGTAGAAGTTTAGGCACCACCAAGTGATCTTCTCTTTGCAGTATTCAGTAAAAAGAAAAACATGATCTGCTAAAGCAAATAATGGAAAAATAGTGGGGCTATCCTTCATGGATAAATAACTTTTTTTTTTTTTTTTTATATAGATGTTCACAAGTGCTAAATCATGTCTGCATCCCTATCTACCACATGGAGAGAGCCTAGATCTAGAGGTTGAGAGGTAGAAAGTGGTTCGTGCTTCATGTCAGTCAGACTGGCTGCATCCACACTGCACATCATGGCCCTGAGTGATAACCCCTGTGACTTTATGACAAAATTACTGCTTTGTATGTAATTTTCTGAAATTTCCAAGGTAATGTGTGGCTTAGCTGAAGAGCACTAGTGGCATATTGCATACGACACAAAATGAGAGCACACTGCATGCTCTGAGATATAGGATGAAGATTCTTGTGGCTATTTTAAGACACAGGCCTGCTGAGACAGGGGATTTTATGAGAAAGCAGTACTTGCTGCAGTCTCTTAGTCGTCATCTGTCACTGGCTGTAGCCAGCCTCTGGTTATCACCCAGGCAGGTGATACCTGGCTGCATCTGTGCTTTTCAGGTTGTTCAGATTAATCTGGAATGAGCTGGATAACAAAAGTAACATTTTCTTTTTTGTAGCGTTTTCGACAGAAGATGATGAAAACCACAGTAGTGCTCACTGCCTTCAGGCTTTGTGACTAATAAATACATGTGACGTGTTCTGAAAAATTAATAAAGAAAACAGTGGAGAGTTGAAATAATCATCTTTCTTGTAAGGATATCAAAAGTAATTTTGAGTGCTTTGTAAAAGCTACAGTCCAAGCACAAGACATTGCACCTAATGGCCAAGTTTTCAGATGCAGACCTGACACGTCTAGAGGTCGCAGGAGTCCCTGTTCACCTGAGTCCACCTTTTTGCAATTTGAACTGGTTGGCCTGGGTTTTAATTTAGGCATATATTCATGGGTTTTAGAACAGGAATCACTACCCACCCAATACCTCTCATGTCAAGCAAATTTCAGATCATATGTCACTACACGAGGTGGTTGCAGCAGTTGCCTGTGGCACCACAAGAATGTGCCATCCCAGAGTTGCACTGTGTTTCCAAGATAACCTAGGAACAGGGGAACAGCGTCGACATCAGCAAGGATCCAAGGATCCAACCAATCTAACAGTGTAGTCCTCTTATGACAGTATCTACAGTACACTCCAGTTCTATTGGTATGTGTGTTACAGCAACCAAGTCAGAATCACAGGACCATTTAAGTTGGAAAAGACCTTTAAGATCATCAAGTCTAACCATTAACCCAGCACTAAAACAGCTACATGTCTTTTAGATAACTCCAGGGATGATGACTCAACCACTGCCCTGGGCAGCCAGTTCCAGTGCTTGAAGATCCTCTCAGTGAGGAATTTTTTTCTAATATTCTATCTAAACCTCCACTGATCCAGAGCTCCTCCCAGGCCCATCGAGTAAAAGCCAAAGGTAGATTTACGACTCTTGAGACTGAGTCTGATATTCTCAAACAATCCAACCCTATTGGTCATAATGATTTTTGGGTTTTTTTCCATTTTTCTGATGTCTTTTTCTGTCAGCAAACTAATATTTATTACTAAACTGTATTGCGAAAAAAGGCTGATTTCAGTAATTTCTCTATGGTTTACTTTGCATGTTTGTTTTGTTGGTTTTTTCTTTTTTTTTGTAAGTGTTACCACTCCCAGAAACTGTCATATCTAAGGATAGGATCCATCTTTTACTCTAGGACCCAACTTCCTTTTGTTTGTCAATGCCAAAGTGAAAGATTATATTCAAAATAATTCAGTTTTATATGTCTCTGTACTCAAGCATTCATGAGGCAGAAGCCTGTTCTTGTTTATGTGAGAATTTCAGCTGACATACAGTGAATTTGGAGGCTTTGCTAATACTGACTTGATTAACATGCAAATGACTTTTGATGCCTCTGCTCAAATAAACATTCCTATCACCTTATCCGTCAAGATAACTGTTTCTCCTGGCTAAACATCAAAACTTGATGTCAGTATTTTCCAAGATCTTAAATTTGAAAAGACATAGCCCATATTTACCATTAAGTTCTCAATTTCTAAACTGATCCTCAGCAGATGAAGCTCCATCTGGTATAGTTATTAACTACATTTTGCCTGCTCTATAATCACATTGAAATTCCCCTACTCCACAGAAAGGATTACATTTCTTCATTGATACACCTCCACCATACAGGATTGGGTGATGCCAGTAATACTTTGTTTTCTGTCCCTTTCCTTCTGACCCTTTCTTTCCCTTTGGAAATACTCAAATGCAAGGAAAACAAATATTGACAAGTCCATATTTCCTTGAAGAGAAACATTTTGAATTTAATTTCATTTTTCCATCTCTTTCTTTCTCTCTCTTGAAAAGGAATGAATCTGAAAACAAAATGCCTGTCAGATTCTCATCAACTCAGGCTTTTTGCAGCCACTACAGCTCATTTCTCCTTCTCACCTACCTCCAGCACAGAAGCCACTGCTCTTTCTGGACAAAAACTAACACAACCTGCAAGCGTATTTTATTTTCATGGGTGCCATCTCCCCTCTGATGCTGCCACTCCTCCTGCTGACCACATCCTCATCTCTCTCCCAAAGTTGCATTATATATATATATATATATATAATGTATCTGCTCTACCAGATATAATGGCAGCTGGACCTTAGAATTCAAACCTGATGAATGGTGCCTTTAACGATTGACCATTACAGCCAATATAGTTGTTTTCATCATGAGAAATAGAATTCATCAATCTGTATTTGTTAACACTATACGATAGAAACAAGAATAGCTATAGTCATTTTTTATAGGTTATTTCAGTTTATTGGTAAGATGTGGAGCATATTTTTATATTTAGTGACTCTTGATAGCCTTTTTTTAATAACCTAAACCATATTACTAATTTCCCTGATTTTTGTACTGTTTCTATATGCGCTTTCTCCTTTAAACTTAACACTTCTGATCCATATCTTCGTAACAGAGTAATATTTCATTTGGAAACATTCTGCTCCTTCTTCCCAAGGCTTTCAGGTCAATTAGATCAATATGAGTGGCCGTGATTATAAACTATGTATAAAGGATATTCTTTTTTACACTACTGTGTCTGAAACATTGTGCCACTGTATCCAAGCTAATATTAAATTATTTATTCTAGTTTCAGTGATTTTTAAGGTGACTACACATTTGTTGTTTGAGTGCTTATTGAGCTTCTAGTGCAAAGTTATTGTCCTGGGTTTGGCTGGAATAGAGTTAATTTTCTTCTTAGTATCTGGTAAGGTGCAGCAGTTTGGATTCAGTATGAGAATAATGTTGATAACACACTGATGTTTTAGTTGTTGTTGAGCAGCACTTAACACTAAGTCGAGGAGTTTTCAGTGTCTCATGCTCTACCAGTGAGGATCTGCACAAGAAGCCAACAGGGAGCATTGCCATATCAGCTGACTTGAACTGAAGAAAGGGATATTCTATTCTACAGAATGTCATGCTCAGTATATAAACTGGGAAGATTAGACCAGGAGGGGTCAATAACTCCTATGGGATGGCTGGACTTTGGTCAAGGGGTGGTGAGCAATTTTATTGTGCACTACTTGTCTGTCTTGGGTTCTGTTTCTTTCTCTCTCCTTTTCATTGCTACTAGTATTATTATTATTAGTATTTATTTAATTTTACTAAATATTAGTAAATTTAACTTTAGTTCAATTATTTAACCATTCTTATCACAATCTACAGTTTTTATCTTTTTCTGATTCTTCTCTCCATCCCACCAGGGAGCAGAGGGAGTAAGCAAACAGATGCACGGTACTTATTTGTTCTTGGGGGTTCAACCATGACAGTTATCACAGATATGTCTAAATTACCCTTCCATCGTAATCATCCCACAGCTGCAACTGTAGCAGTGATCTAAACATGAATGAAAATGATGAAGCTAGATATACATTGGTATCTGATTACCCATAAATGCATATATTACCATAGCAAGATAAAATAACATTCCCTACAAAGAGAATATGGGGATTTAGATTTGAAAATTATATTCTCCCAGCATTTGGCTCAATTTAAAATGTAAGTTCATCAAGAAAAGAGGAAGTCTTTTAATATATATATATATTCTCAGTCACTGTGTTCAGTGGGGTGTGGTCCAAACAGTGATGGAATCTGACAACACTTTATAAAATGAAGTTTTATTGAAGCAGTAGTGAAGATGAGCAACAACTCGCTCACATGGCAACTCACCCACAACAGGTAATATGAGAGGATTTTACTTTCTTTCCATTTATTTGGTGACTAATGTACTCTCCCTGAAATGTACTTCAGGTTATACAAGCCATGGTGCTATACAAATCTGTTAAAACTATTCTATACATGTTTTAACAAGTCCAAGAAATTTGAATGTCCCTTTATTATTTATTATTGAATAATAAAGAGGAATATATGGTGGATTTCTTTCTTTGTGTACAGAGCAATATCTTGAACTTTGGTCTATTAGACGAGTTGAATTCAACATTTGTCAAAAGCATCCATCAAAAAATACAGTCTTTAATATGTATTGTTTCGGAACAGAATCCCAGTGCAAGACAGAAATATAAGATTTTTCAGACTGTGCTGGTTTTGGCTGGGGTAGAATTAATTCTCTATATAGTGGCTAATATAGGTCTGTGTTTTGGATTTGTGCTAAACACAGGGTTGACAATATAGAGATGTTTTGTTATTGCTGAGCAGAGCTAACACAGAGCCAAGACCTTTCTGCCTTTTGTACTGGAGCTCTGGTGAGGAGACTGGGGGTGCACGGCAAGCTGAGAGAAGTCACAGCCAGGGCATCTGAGCCAAACTGGCCAAAGGAATATTCCATACCATATGACATCACACACAATCTATAAAGCTGGGGAAAGAAGGAAGAAGTGGCAGGGGAGGTTGGGGGAGGCATTTGGAGCGATGGAGTTTGTCTTCCCAAATCACCATTATGCATGATGGGGCCCTGCTCTCCTGGGGATGGCTGCACACCTGCCTGCCCATGGGAAGCAGTGAATTAATTCTGTTTTTTGCATAGTTTGCATGAGTGACTTTTGCTTTTCCTATTAAGCTGTCTTTATCTCAGCCCACAAGTTTTCTGGCTTTTACACTTCTAATTCTCTCCCTGATCCCACTGGTGGGGGAGTGGGCAAGCAGCTGAGTGGTACTTGGTTGATGGCTGGGGTTAAATCACAACACAGACATGCACAAATGCATGCACATATGCTGTAACTTGTATGATTCACACAGGACTTACTCCCCATAGATTTAATTTGCAATAAGTTTGGATGTGAGTACATTTCAGCATTGCAGTCCTCAGAGGAATGTAAGCTCATCCCATGGAAGAAATTAAAAGAAATTTCAAGTTTCAAACTGAAAATTCAAATTTCAGTCTATTCAAAACATGTCAAAGATGCATGCCATCTAAATTAGCTACTTCTAGCAATGCAAACTAACATCTCGTTTCCTATGTTCAAAGGGCTCTATTTTTAATTTTTTTTAAGAGCAGTGTGAATGCCAAAATATTCTCTTTGTGGGCAAGTAAACACTCTCAGTTCATCAGTATTTGAATGATGATCAAACCATTCTGAGCATTTCTGAGAAAATCCCTTCTCCCTAGTGACCCCTTTTACTGAAATGAAGCTTTAAATCACATACCTCAAGTGAAAATGCAGAATAAACATTTAAATGAAAAACCTAAACACAAAATGTCCTCTTTTTCCCATTTGCCATTCTTTTCCCTTACTTCCATCTTTTTTATGGAGGGTTTGTTTTTTTGTTTGTTTTTCTTTTTTTTCTCTTGAAAAAATAGTGTGTGCTGCTTGAGAGAAGCTGATAAATCATAGAAGCTTTTCCATCTGGAAAGATTTTACTGTTCCAAATCTCCAGACTCACACTGGTCTTAATTTCCCAGTATATTAAAGCCATAAAGCCATTTCAGCAGACACTGTAGGATTAGTTCAGTAAAGGGGGATTCTCTGATGCTGGAGAGTTGTCACAGTAATATATTTGCATCCCCATATCCTTCTGGCATAGCAGAGGTACACAAGGAATAA